ACCTCTTGGAATTAAAATCACGGGGCCCCTCATTCGCTGCGCCTCCGAGCAGCTGCCAGCAAGAGTGAAGGCTGCGCTGCTGCGCGCGCTGCGGTCCGCTGTTGCTCCCAAACCCTAAACCCTAAACCCTAGAGGCTGCGAGGGCTAAACCCTAAACCCTAAACCCTAGAGGCTGCGGGGCTTTTGGCTTGTCGCCTTTCCTGTGTCTGCTCCTGCGTCGGTCTTGGCCTGCTGAGGCGCAGGAGGGAGCCTCTTGCTGCAGCTGCTGCAGTTCCTGCTGCCGCTGCTGCAGTGGCTGCTGATCTAGCTGCTCCAGTCGTTGCCGCTGCAGCTGCTGCAGCAGTTGCTGCTACAGCTGCTGCGAGTCGTTCTGCTGCAGTTCTAGCTGCTGCAGCCGCTGCAGTTGCTGCTGCTGTTGCTGCTGCAGTTGCTGCTGCTGCAGCTGCGCGGTGCTATTTGTGAGGAGAGCTGCACTTGCTGCGTTGCTGCTGCAGGGCGTTGCTGCTGCGGGCGGGCATGCACGTGAAGGCTTTGCTGCCGCAGCTGCAGGCGACGCTGCTGAAGTGCTTGGCAGCAGCAGCAGCAGCAGCTTCTGGCGCCACTGCTGCTGCTCTTTGCCGCTGCTGCTTGGGTCTTGTTGCTGCGCTGCACACGCGGAGCCGCGTGGAGGCTCTTCTGGGCGAGCTTGCGCTGTGCATACACCCCACAGCCAGCACAGCAGCAGCAGCAGCAGCAGCAGGAGTCACTGCCATTTCTCCCCTTGTGGCGCTGCAGGTGCGTCCGTGCTGCTGCTGCAGCTGCTGCTGCTGCTGCTGCTGGAGCGCTGCTCGCTGCCGCTGCTGCGCAGACGCTTGCTGCTGCTGCTGCTGCCCTGCAGGCGGTGTGCGCTGCCTGCCTCCAGTCCTGCTGCTGCTGCTTCTGCTGCTGCTGCTGCTGCGGTCCACAGGTGGTGCAGCACGTGCTTGTGAACACAAGGGAAGCCGTAGAGGACCCTGCGCTGCAGCAGGGACTTGCTGCTGCTTGCTGGGCAGCAGCAGGTGCAGCACGGAATGAACTGCAGCAAACTGTTGCATGCAGAGTGCTGGGGAAGCTCCTAGCTCCGAGTGTACATACACCTCAGACGCAGCAGCTGCTTCAGGAGTTCGTTGTGGAAGCAGCAGCAGATTTCCAGACGGATACGCGCAAGGTAACACCACTTGAGCCTGCTGCTGCTGCTACAGCTGCTCCAAATGCTGCTGCAGCTGCTGCTGCTTCTGCTGCTACAGCTGCTGCTGCTGCAGCTGCTGCTTCTGCTGTGTCTGGCTGTTTTGTTGCTGCAACTGCTGCTGCTGCAAGTGATGCTGCTGCTGCTGCTGCCTGCAGAGCGCATGCTTGGTGCTGGCAAATTTGCTGCGGACGGGCAGCCAGGAGCAGCTGCTGCAGCTTCCGCTGCTGCAGCAGCCGCAGCAGCTGCAGCAGCTGCTGCAGCAGCTGCTGGAGGACCGGGCGCCGCCCGTTCAGTCAGCGGCGCTTCAGGTGTACAGACACCTCGTGCGGCACTCCAAGTGAGTCAAAAAAGTTTATTTTTATTTAAATAATCAAACAAGTAAATGACACTTAAATAGTCTGCTGCTGCTTATCACGTATACTTTTCTTTATTCTTTCCCTGCTGTTGCTGCTCTGAAACAGCAGGATGTCTCAGCGCTGTTGCGATGGGCGTTGAGCTGCTGCTGCTGCTGCAGCAACTCTTGTGCTTGTGTAGTTGCAACTGCGTTCTGGGGCGAGGTCTGTTTGCTGCTGCTGTTGTCTGCAGAGGGCAGCAGCAGCTGGTGGATGTGTGCTGGGAGCTGCTGCCCGCGGTGCATGCAGCAGCAGCAGCAGCAGCAGCA